GTTTGGAGGAATTTATTCGCAAAATGCATTTCCATCTCCCATTATTCACATTAACCCTTTTTCGCACAAGTCAAAAACCACCTCAAGTGAGTGTACATTTCTTTTTGCGAATTAAGGCATTTTTATTCGAAATTCAGTGTTTCCATCACCATCACGAAATTCAGTGCTTCCATACTTCCATCAGTATGTGATACTTCAAAACGTGCATAAAAGCAGGGTGATGGAAACCCAGCTAAACACTTGCTGCACATCGCAAAAAACATTCAAAAATGTCAATATGTGGGAGTAAGAGAAGAGCAGACATATGGATAAATCTGACGACGCAAGAGAGAACTGAGAACTCAACTCGGTCTGGTTTTCTGAGCGCAGACACTGAAAGCATACACACACAGAAAGCGCCTCTCACAGCGCGCGAGTACTCGCTCGCGTCACATGAACGGAGATTACACACAAAATCATGTCGAATTGTCCGTTTTGATGATTATTCACATAAACGCAGTTGATTATGTCTGAAGTGAAGGTAAACAGCAGGGAGAACGTGTATCAGTACATTGCATCCATTGCAGCTGTGCATTCGGTTTTAAAGGGACAGCAGCCTAATTTAGTTGCTATTGTCCGAGTCATTGATGTTAATCAAGCAACAACAGAAAGCCAGAAAATCACTCACTGCTCTTGCCTGAAAAACTTCAGTAGCCCTAAAGATTAATCTTAAATGTATTTATAGAAATAAATATGTCTGCTTGAAAGAACGAAGAATATGGTAAACAAGTTGCTATAAAGAATGCATAATTAGCCGATATAACCATTGGTATTTCATTAAAAAGAAGACCATGTTCTTGTTATTAATGAGAAGTGGTTTTATTTCATTTTAACATAAAGGCATGTTGTGTGTCACAGCAGTTAAATCAGTGTCTATCATGATAAAACCTTAATATCAAACCTATATAATGAGTTTGGAAATGTTAGAGAAATGCTTAATAAATGCACTGTAACTAAACCCATTAGATTTTAGCCGACTAAATTTACTGTAGATTTAGTCGACTAAAATCTTATGATATTTAGTCGACTAAAACAAGTCAGATGACTAAAATATGACTAAAACTAAATGGCATTTTAGTCAAAAGACTATGACTAAAACTAAATCTAAATTTGTTGTCAAAATTAACACTGAGCTATTCCCCTAAAAGTTATAAAAATTATGTCAACAACAATTACAACTATTACTTAAATAACTAGGAATAACAAACAAGACTTGTTTTTCAATTCATACAGTATGTTGTTGTGTTGTACAAAAAACTGTTTTGTTGTAAATTGTTATATTTTATATTATATTTAGTTTTATTTTACATTTACGTTTCAATAATTAGTTTCATTAGCCAAAATGTTTGATAATAAATTTGTATTAAATATTAAAATGCAAAACCCAGGAAAAAATAAAAACAGAAAAATCTGAAACTCGTCTCTGTCTGTGTTTCGCTTTGTGTTTTATTCTGGGTTTAATACTGTCCTCCAGAGCACAGCAGACACGCTACGTCTGTTTTATGTTTAATATACAGTAAACAACGTTGTCATTGTACTATTTTATTGTTGATGTTATGTGTGTTTTTTTCCATTAAGAGTAATACTGTATCAACTGCATTACTTTTGTTCCAAGAATAGGAAAGATCTAACGTTAAAGATCAATGCAAGCGCTACAGATGCGAGATTAGCGGCAGGTAAAGAGAAGCTCTCGCTCTTTCTCTGCTGTCTCTTTGCAGTGGCTGTAGAAATGGTCATTAATTCTTAATTCTTAAAATAGTATGACCAAAAAGTCATGGCAACAAATGTCAGTTTAATATAATACAATGTTGAAACAACTGGCACAGTCACTTTGATTCAATTTAACTCATGTTTTATGGTTCCTGCCCATGGTCTGATTTTTGGCCCTTCATATTAAGCCGTTAGGACTCGTCTGATCTAGATGATCTAAAACGAGCGCATGTGTCCATCACCTCCATCAGCTGAGTTTACAGAGCAGTTCGTTTGAGTCGCAAACGCTCAGTTTAGAGCATCATCAGATGGAGCAGCTCAAGCGCTTCAAACACACTGGAGACATTACAACATAAAACACTTAGATCTGAATTCATTTGAAAAACATTGCACTGAATTTCAGTTCACTTAAATTGGACTATTTGAAATGTGGCAGGAATGAAGGACTCGCTGTCCATCCTCAAACGGCATCGCACTAACATTTACTGTGTTTGTAATAAAGCTCTCTGACCGCAGACGTGTCGATTATTAAACTATTCCTGCAACACCGTAAACATGCGAGAGACTCGTGAAAGGACTAATGACAGGCTGTAAATTGTTTCGTTTTCTTTCGCATGTAAACAACCTTTTTTCACAGTTTGCAGTAAATGTGATTATGGTGAGAGATGTTAAGAAAAATAATAAATGTAACTGCAGCTTCACACCAAACAAAGCGTTTTCTCACACTTGTCAGAGTGAAAAACACCCCTGAGGATTCACGACTGGAGCGCGTTTGTGGATCAGTGACATACACAGAATTACTGTACTTTATTATATATTAGCACTCAGTGAACTAACCCGCCGTTCATCTGGGCGGAAACGCTCGTTACCAGACGTCACAATGCAAAAAATGTCTCCAATTGCCGAGAAGGCAGCTGCGCTGGTGAATGCATTCGCTGAGAATGACCCACAATCACCGGCACAATAAAACACACCGCCATCAGTCCTAAAGCTACAGAAGAACTCCGACTTCCTTTCAATGCAATTCATCTGAGCTTTTCACAAAACACACTGGCCCGTAAAAAACCACACGAGGGAAAATATCTGTGCAGTTTCTGCTCACTGGACGTTACTGAAAAATGTTACTGGAAAAAAGAGGAGGTGAGGGTGACGGTGTGAATCTAACATTGATCGCACAAGCTCTCTAGCAGAGTCCGGTTTACTTGCTCTGAGAGGAGAGAGACGAATGGCTTTAGTCAAAGGTCTGGATTACGGGTCGCTCTGGGCTTCAGCCCTCTGTGGGCGTGTCCTAGAGGAGGCCACACCACTCCATCACCTGATCGGACTACATCATCTCAGTGTAATGAATCCCTCAGCCGTCTGTCTGATCGACTCACAGAGAGCAGGACGAGCCACTAACAACAGTGTCTCATCTCACTCTCCTGACTCTGATATAACTCTGATATATCTGCACGTGTGTGTTTAGGGTTGGAGGGCAGAAGATCCCGCTGTGATCTGTGCGATTCGCTCTACATCTGCTGTTTGTCTCTTCACTTTGATTCCATTTCCAGCTCATCCGGCTTTTCTTCTTCCGTTCCTCATAACACTTTCTCGTCGTCTTCCTCTCTGCTCCCTCTAGCTTTGCTTTTCTCACCTACATTCTCACCTCGCTCGCGTTCAGCTTCAGTTTCAGTGTAAGCGTCTTTACTGGCATTACCAAAACTGTTCATTCTGCAGCTTATCTGCACACGGAGAGAATAGGGTTGGGTATCCTTGAAGTTTTTCTGATTCCAATTCTGCTTATCAATTCCTATCCTTAACCATTCCCAGTTTCAATTCCAATAAGGTATATAAAAAGTGTACTCAAATATTTAGGTATCAGGTACAGAAACTGAAAAAACAAAACACTGGATAGTTTTATCCTTATTAAAGTTACAAAAGGAGCAAGACAACGAGAGAAAGCATTATTACCACAGATAACGCAAGAAATGCTCATTAAAGAGGTTGAGAAACATCTGCATCAGCGACTCCTGATATTACACTGAATGAGAATATAATATATTTATTGCTTTGGCAACATTGTGATATGTTCCACAGTCATGTCAATAAAGCTCATTTGAATTGAATTGAATTGAATTGAAAGACAGACAGACAGAGAGACAGACAGACGGGTTTGTGTCGTGTAATTAACCGTTGTAACAGATCATTTGTACCTGAAGTCACTTTAACTCACGGACTGAATGCCAGCAAACACAGTCTCTCTCTCTCTCTCTCTTTCTCTGTGTCTGTCTGTAATAGTGTTTCTGTTCCTCCTCGTTTAATTAGCTAAATAAATGTACTTTCCTCTCGTAGCGTGTCTGCTGTGCTCTGGAGGACAGTATTAAACCCAGAACAAAACACAGAGCAAATAACAAAGCGAAACACAGACAGAGACGAGTTTCAAATTCTGTCATTACAGTGGTTTAATGAAAGGATCAGGAGCTGAAGGAGCGATTAAAGTCTCCGGACTGCTTTTATTCTCCAGTCACACGCGGCAGAGCTTCACGGCTGCTTTCAAATGCAAATATGTTCAAAGCAGCTAAAACAGGCCATTTGAACCCCAGAGAAGAACCAAATGTCAAATGTGCTTAAAGTCAGCCGCGCTACTAAACGAACACACACTGATTAAACGCTCAAGCGTCTGCATGAAGTGAAACACATGACCCTCACGCTTGCCGTACATGCTAAACACGCTAATGATGCAATGAGACAGAGAAACGAATCTGATCCAACCAATGACTGTACATCTCAGGAACGTCGCTCTCTGAACACACCATGCACTGCTATCTAACCCTTTCACTGGTCTCTCACCGTCAGAGACCAGTGAAAGCTCAGCTCAGAGACGGACAACTCAGACAGCAACACAACACACTACATACTAGAACAGAGTCACCACACAGCTGAACACATGCATCACCTTTCTAGATCTGTCAGACAGTGAAAGCTGCACTGCATGTGTAGCCAATTGATTGTGACTTTTATATTTTATTTAATATCATTTACTTTATAGGATATTATTTTATATTGTTTGTGTTGAAAGATATTTTTTGAAAGCGTTAACTTCATCAAAACTATTTTTGATAATTGCAATTTCATGTTTAGTTTCAATGGTTCCAGTCAGGAGTTCCTACCAATTGTTGTAGGTGGGGTCTTAATTAGTGGCTCACCTTAGGAAGAGGTATCATGCTGAGTGTTTTTGTATTAACTGTTATGTTGTTATATTTTGTGAAATACTGTTTTATTTTGTTGCCTAGTATATGTGCAATGTGTATCGCGTCTCCTTTAAGCATTCGCGCTCAGTCTCACTGTGAATGCAGACGGGAAGCACGGGAGTGAGAGAGTAGGCCTATCGGTGTGTTTGTACTAATTTTGCCTCATACTACTCTTCTTTAAAGGGGAATAAATTCCATCACTCATCTCATCCATGCGTGGTCGTGCTTCTGTTCCGAGGGTACTGTTTGACATCTGCTACATCTAACTGGTGCCGTGACCCGGATCCATTGGTCAGCCGCAGCCGATCGCCGGGGTCAAGCAGTGTGCTGTGACGTCTTGGTGCTGTACCGTGTGACAGGGATCTATGCAGCAGATACTCAAGTGATTTTACTCGGACATTCGCACAAACACGAACCCATATTCTTCGGCAGTGAAGTTCCACATAAACCATAGACTGACACACATTTTGCGTTCATACACATTTGAGATATTTGCACATATTGGACATCTGGACTTACATCCTTCTGAGGACTGTTTTCTCTGTAATTCTACTTTGCCATTTGGGATTTGTACATCTGTGTATTTTGCATTATTTACATATCTTAGTTTGAGCTGTTTTATTCAAAGATCAAGTTATAGTACCATTCAAAATGGCTGAAAGGGGTCAAAATACATCAGATTTATTTACGCCATTAGTTGGGAGGGGTAGAGGTCTGTACAGAGTGGGGGAGGGTACAGGAGCCGTACCAAAGCTGTTGTTCCCAAGTACTTCAGCCCCAGAGGTAAGCCCCCATCCTGAGTTGGCACAGCCAGCATGCTCGACTCCTTCCGACAGTAACAACAACGTTACACAGCAGTTACGAGAGTTAATAGGGGAGCTGGGTAATCAGATTGGTGAATCCATAGTCAGCCGCTTATTAGCCAGTCAAAATGTGGCCAGCTCTTTACCCACAACGACATCAGGGTTAACCAAGTCAGAGCCCTCACTTGATTCTTCTAAAGTCAGTTTCATAGTGAGGTCAGATATCAAAGAACCACCCATGTTCAGAGGAGACGAGAGTGACAAGTACACCGTCCAAGAGTGGATAGATGTTATGGAACTGTACTTGCAGAAAAGTAGCTGCCCTGAAGCGGAGAAAGCAGACACTGTCTTGAGTCATCTCCTGGGAAGAGCTAAGAGTATAATTAAAGTGGGACTAAAAAGCACTGCTTCCATTGGTTCAGCAAGTGTTGAGAGAATTTATGACATGCTAAGACACTACTTTAGCGATCACCCTGTGTCACTTTTGTCAAGGTCAGGCCAGAACACTTTACTTGACAAGAGAGAGATTCTTCTGGGTAGGCATGGAGCGAGACGTCAGAGAGTACGTTAAGTGCTGTAAGCGCTGTGTGGTAAGTAAGACGCCTGAGCCAGAAGCAAGGGCACCGCTCGCGAGTGTAAAGACAACCAGGCCTCTGGAGCTGGTGTGTATCGATTTCTGGTGCGCAGAGGATCGTAAGGGCGGGAGTGTGGACGTGCTAGTGGTTACCGACCACTTTACGAAGATGGCACATGCCTTTGCATGTAGCAACCAGTCAGCTAAACAAGTAGCTCGCCAACTATGGGACAGATATTTTTGCATCTATGGGTTCCCAGAGAGGATCCATGCTGATCAGGGTGCAAACTTTGAGAGTGAGCTGATTCAGGAGTTGATGCAGCTTGCAGGTGTCAGGAAGTCAAGAACAACGGCTTATCACCCTATGGGGAATGGCCTCGCAGAGCGGTTTAATCGCACGCTAGGCAGTATGATACGAGCATTACCCCCGAGAGATAAGCAGCAATGGCCCCAGATGTTGCAGACGCTGATGTTTGCCTACAACTGCACCGCTCATGAATCTACAGGTTACGCACCATTTTACCTAATGTATGGAAGGATTCCTCGTCTGCCAGTAGACGTTATGTTCCGCAGTGTAGGAAGGGACCGTGAAATCACAGACTATGGCAGCTACGTTGCTAAGATGAAGGATGATCTCAAGGAGGCTCTTAACTTAGCCCAAGCGAATGCAAGTGCAAGTCAGCAACGACAGACTGAACTCTACAACATGAGGACAAAAGACTGTGACATTGAGGAAGGAGACCGGGTGTTACTAGCCAATAAAGGCGAAAGAGGACGCAGGAAGTTGGCTGATAAGTGGGAAGCTGTGCCATATGTAGTGGTCTCAAAAGACTCAAGATGCCATACTTTCAGAGTCAAAAATACCAGCACTGGCAAGGAAAAGGTGGTACACCGTAATCTTATGCTGCAGGCCAACTTTTTACCCCTTGAGGTAGAAGAGAATGTGTCTTGTCATGATGGCTCACTATTTAGTCAGGAGCAATCGGATGAGACATTGACGCAAAACTC